AAAACAGGCAGACACAAAATGCTTGTTTGCCCAATCACCCCTATTTGTTTAAAACAGTCCTATAACTTTATTCAGAATCAGGCTTTACTGTTCTTCTTAGACAAATGTCAATGTGGGCTTTTCAGAACGTCAACAAAACTATTAACAACTTTTATAGCTCAGAGCAGTTTTTTTTTTTTTTTTTTTTTTTTTTTTCATCAACTCAAAAAAAAAAAAAAAAAAAAAAAATCTTCTCCCCAAAAAAAAAAAAAAAATTCTACACATTTTTTTCAAAAAATTTTTTTTTTTTTTTTTTGTTTTTTTTTTTTGTCAGCCACATCAACAGCGGAAAAAAAAAAAAAAAAAAACACAAGAGGAAAAAAAAAAATTGTAGAAAATTTTTTTTTTTTTGTTATTTTGAATTTTTTTTTTTTTTTTTTTTTTAGTTGGTGAAAAAAAAAAAAAAAACACTTAGAAAATAGAGCCCAAATGATCGGCCTCTGTTTTTTTTTTTTTTTTTTTTTTTTTCTCTTGCCTCTCAGGGCTTCCATAGTTTTCATATCACACTTTAACAACAAATCCAGTATTTGCTTTGAATATGTCTGCTTTCTATCTCTTATATAGTTGTGTAATATGTTTCAATGCAAGAGGACAGTCAGTTTCTTTCAGCACCACGGACAGCGCCCGCAGAAAACCCTGTGAATAAAATAGTATTTTTACGAGGGATGATTTTTGACAATACAATATCACACTATTTCGTTTATTGTTACATCCCTAATGTTTACTCAACCATTTCAAGCTCCCAAATGACTACAGTTTTGAAGCAAGATGTCAGAGTTGAGTAGTTTAGCTCTCGTAAAGTTGAATCTTTAGGTACATTTAGGTACTGCTCAGTTTGAGTCATACAAAATATGTTAGACTTCACATAATTTGTTGCTGTTTAACCAAAACAGACAGATGAAACAGTCCTAAAGCCTCATTCAAATCATGCTTTGCTTTTCTTATCGGACAAATGTCAATGTCGGCGTTTCAGAATCTAAACAAAAACATTAACGACTTTTATAGCAATTTTCATGACATACTTTAACAACAAATCCAGTATTTCCTTGAATATGTCGACTTTCTATCTGTCATAAAGTTGTGTAATGTTTTTCAATGCAAGAGGGCAGTGAGTTTCTTTCAGCACCACGGACAGCGCCCACAGAAAACCCTGTGAATAAAATAACCATTCCAAGGTCCCAAAATGACTACAATTTCAAAGCAAGATGTCTGAACTGAGTAGTTTTGAGGATTTTGGACGTGTAGATCTGGTTTAGCTCTAGTAAAGTTGAATCTTTAAGTACATTTAGGTACTGTTCAGTTTGAGTCATACAAAATAAATTAGACTTCACATAATTTGTTGCCAAAACATGCAGAGGAAAATGGCTGTTTGTCCAATCAGCCTTTACTTTAAAACAATCCTAAAGCCTCATTCAAATCATGATTTACTGTTCTTATTGGATCAATGTAAGCTTTTCACTGTCTAAACAAAAACATTAACAACTTTTAGAGCAATTTTCAAATCAGACTTTAACAACATATCCAGGATTTGTGTTGAATATTATTATTATTGTTATTATTGTTAATATTAATATAGGGCACTATAAGTTTTTTTAAACTTCATCCTACTCCTTTTGAGCACCGGGTCCCAAATATGTTCATGTATAAATCCCCGTTTTAGTTTTTTGTTTTTTTTTTTGTTTTTTTTTAATTTGTTTATTTTTTGTACCTTGCTCAAACAAATAAATGATTTTTTTAATTTATTTTTTTAATTGTATTTTTACTAGGGATGTAATAATATCAAAATCTCAGTTTTGGCAGTGCTTGGACTTGTGATTTATTATTATTTATCTTTTTTCATTTATCATTTATCTTTTTTTTTGGCCTCTGTACCATTTCATGCTTTTCATTGGACTTGCATGACTTGATTTGCAATAAATAACTGGAAAAATGAGACTGTTCTAAAACTTTTAGCCCGTAGTGTGTAACTTTTTGGTTGGTTGTGTCCATCACCTGCTTGTTTCTATGGATATGTCATTGTTCTGCTTGGAATATTCCACAGTACGACATTACGTTTATTAAACTACAAGTGTTTTGATAGCTAAAAAAAAAATATCTTACCACAGATTCGACCTGTAACTTGGTCTGGTTTGTGTTATTAGGTTCTTTTTTCAAACCAAGGGCCTTTGAGCAGTCGAAACTGTCAGGTATGAAAAGAAACCCTTGGTCTGAAAAAGGAACTTAATAACATCAATTATCGGAAGTCCAAATGAACCTCATTGGACTATGGGTCTGGTTTGGTCCCCATGAAAGTCTCAAAGATTTAATTCCATACTGTGAAACTTTCCAGAACGACGCACCCTCCACCAGAAAAGTTCCACAACGCACCTTTAAATAGAAGCCTGTAAGAACCTAAACTAAAATGTGACCGCGACACAATTTACACCAACTTTTTATCACATTTTATCAGTAAATCCCATATTTTCTTCGGCTATTTTTATTTCATATCCGAGGTACAGATGTGTAAAGCTTTTCAATGCAACGCGAGAGAGGCCAGTGAGTTCTTTCAGCGCCGCAGACAGACAGACAGACAGAAAACTCCACTGCTGAGCTGCGTATGTGACAAACGTACTAACCACTCTCAGATATGAATTCCGCAACTGCTTCTCACACAATAATGCCTTTTGATTTGGCCCTGATCAGTGCTCGTGTTTTAGTTCATAGCTTCATAATTACGGATTGATTTCGGGCTGGATGCATCGTATTCATAAACTGCGTTAGTATTCAGGGCAATTGGTTTTCGTTATATTGTTTTGAATGGGATAAAGTGGAAGTGCAATGAAGCAAGTCTTTAATTGGGAAAGACAGCGACAATCTTAAACGCTCAATGGGACCACGGCATATTAAAAAAAAAAAGAAAAAAGAAAAACGCAAATGGACGAACACGCGGTGAATGTCCAATGAGCCCGGACCAACAAACAAATACAAAAGCGCTGTTTGAGCACAGTGTGGACGGGAGATAGGGAGATGAGATAGTGAGATTGAATTTGGATAGTTTTGAGCTGACAATATTACTAAAAGATGAAAGCTGTTTTGTGTGAGGAAAGTTTAATCTCACCATCTGTCTCCCCGTATATTCGCAATCTGTCCCGTGTTCTATACCCGCTCTCCCCTCCTTTGTGTCGGTCCAAAACATTCTCGCTCTGGACGTATCAGACTTTATCTTAAACGTATAACATGAGCAGATGGAGTCTTTGTCGCGCCGCGATCTTTTATTCCGCAGCTTCGCCACTGTCCTGTGCTCCATAAACTTCATTTTATGTTGTTATAGCGGGGGGCTGCCGGGGTAGCGTTAACATTTTGAATACAAAGAAACCGGTTCAGAAAACACGGGGACGTTCAGAATTCTCCACAAACGTCCACGCTGTTCTTTACTTCAGGGGTCAAGCCGTTTTCAGGGGTGTCCGAGTGTCCAGTTGGTGAAAAAGTAGTGCGCTCTCTCCCTTTTTTTTCCACAATGCACCCTGAAAATTAGAGGGAATTGCATTGGGAGAAACAGGAAAACAACGGTGTAGAGCGACAGGTGTTTAACTGGACACAACACGACTGAATGAAGCAGATAAAAGCGCTGGTTTATGGCTCTGTTGATTCGTGATTCTGAATAAAACACGACTAAATAAACCAGGATCACAGCAGGGATGTGTTCTCTCATCGCTGCTGTTTATACTCTACACCAATAAGTGTCAGTGCACCAATGAGAACAGAACAGTAATAAAGTATGTGGATGATTTTTTCATTGTGAGCTTGCTCCAGAAAAATGGCCACAGACTACGGATGCTCTACTAATACATGTTCATTAATGTGCACTGTTCCATATTTAATTAATAAACATAAAAAGAAATAAAATTGTGTTGTGACAGAGCTCTGAAGAGGGAGCAACTTAGAGATGAGAGCAAAAGCAGGGGGGACAAAAGTGAAACTTGTTAAACATGTTGATCAGTTGTTTGGGTGAATATAGTATTTTCAAAACAATAAAACTTAACATGGTGATCTAAATATGTGATGTGTGAGCCATGTCAGACTCAGGCCAGGGGGCCAGATTTATAATCTATATATAATATATTTGGCCCGTGAGATCATACCAAATATGTATTGAGATGCCCGCTGGTTACACTATACACTAACTTTTTTCATCAAGGGCCACATTTCTAAACACAGATGACGCAGAAGGCTGATCAGGGCCATAGACTGGAATAATGTAGACTGTGAATAAATCAAAATATGTGTATGTATGAGTCAGCCATATATATTCATGCTAAGATCCTAAAAACCACATACTAAATATTAAATATTTGCTTTATCAAGGTAGATTTTCCAAAAAAATTAAATAAATAAAAAGAAAACTTGCAGCAAAAAAATAAATTTTTAATTGATGTAAGGTAATTTGGGCCAATTTTCCTGGAAACCTGAGGGTCAAAACAAATTTGTCTGAGGGCCACATTTGGCCCACGGGCCATAGTTTGGACATGCCTGGACTCTAGAAATATTATTTAATGTGTGTATTAATTGTGTTATTATTTTATATTCTGCTTGTTCTTTATTCCATGTTTAAGTAAAACTATTATTAAAAAAAATATTTTAAGAAGAAAAGGTTTAAACTAACATATCTTGAAAGAAGAGATGTTGCTGAAAATTTTTAATAAATATTTAATTTAAAATTTTTGCCCTCTGTAAATTTGTGTTTGACTAATATCCCATAGAACTGTCATGCCCCCTCTTTAACAAATGAGATGTTCATATTTTTTTGGCTTTTAATGCAAAAAATACACTACACTATCTTTACCTTTTTCTTGATAATGTTACAAAAAACTCATTTAAGCTTTATTTTTGTGTGTCTTTTGAAACTCTCAAAACTGTAGACTCAGTTTTAGCTCTTAAGTCTCCAGTTCCACTTTAAAAACACATACAGAGGCTTTACTCACCCACTTCGGACATCTCCGGCACGCTGGCGAAGTACACGTCTTTGGCGAACCTTGGCGCGTTGTCGTTGATGTCGTGGATTTTGATGTTAAACTCGGTGTCCGGCTCGAGCTCGGCGAGGGTGGTCCGGTCCAGGACTTTGGCGTGGAGGATGTACATGGCCTTCTCCTCGCGGTCCAGACGTTTGGTGGCGTGGATGTCTCCAGATTTTTCGTCGATCAGAAACAGCGTCCCGGCTCCGTCTCCGGTCAGAACGTACTTCACATTCCCGTCGCCTTTGTCCATGTTTGAGTGGAGCTGGAGAGAAGAGAGACAGAAGTTTAGTTAAGCAATATTGGGGATTAATTTTATGTTTTAGTTATGTTTTAGAAACTCAACACCATTTTTGACACCAGATTGAAGAAAACACAAACATAAAATTCATACAAGAGAATGTCATTTTCAACTCAAGATAACAGTAGTTCATTTAAAGTCATACCATGTAACCTTTTAGCCAAAAAACTAAAAATACACTAAAATAAATGTGTTTTTTTTTTGTTTGTTTTGTTTAATTTTTGATATTTTGGATGTTGCACTGCATAAAGGTAAAAAATAAATAAATAAATACAAAAATAAATAAATAAAGTAATAATAATAATAATAATAATAATAATAATAATAATAATAATAATAATAATAATAATACACATAAAAACACAACAATAAAAAAAAAAAAGAAACACACAAAAAGTAAAATAAATAAACACACGTTCTTACTATGAGTGAGGGCTTGCATCTCCACAAACCTGACTCTTATTTGACTATGATATTCAACAATACAGCATGAAAAATTATCAAAAATTATGACCGTAACATATAGACCGGGGGTGGTCAAATTTTTTTTGACTCGTGGGCCACAAAGGGTTCTAAAATGTGTTGGAAGGGCCGGACCAGGAGCAGATAGATGGAAGTTTTTGGTAATCCACCTCACACGAAGAAAAAAATAAAATAAAATAAAAATAAAAAATAAATCCCATATTGTAAAAAAAATCCCATAATTAAAAATCATTACAAAGCCATGTGAATAATTAAGTTTTTCATGTTTTAAGACTGTAAAAAACATTTAAAGTACAACATTTTTAGACTTTTTTATGCATTTTACGGAATTAATTGCATGTAAAGTCCCATGTTCTTCGAAGTCCATGCATTTCTACTATTCGTTTTACTTTTAAGTTGAAGAATACATCCACTGACCTTGCAAAAATATAGAGTTTTCACATTCACGGCCGATTCATAATGTAATAACCTCGTGCGATTTCATAATAATTTGATCTTGAACACGCAAAGACTCAAAACGCCATTGAGTTTAAGCGTTACGTGAGCAGATTTCTACAGTATTTCTCAGCGTTTTAAAAGCAAATACAACTCCGCTCTGTCAGATTAACGTTCGGCGTAGAGCGTATCGTGACAGAGGCCGGTATTTGCAAATCTTATGTAGCTCGAGCCTGTTAGTTTCACTTTACCAGCGTTTGCATCAGCATCGCGGAGCTGCCTGTTTATTTAGTAAGTGAACTCTGTCTTTCTGTCTGTCTGTGTGTCGGTCTGGAGTATTCCCTTGTAAAGTAGGCACTAAATTGGGTTGAGTCATTAATTATGTAATGGATTGATTTCAAGCAGTTGCCTCAAAGGACTGGAGCGCCCTTATAACCTGTGTGAAGGTGAGATGAAATAATGGGGAATACAGAGTGGAAACCATTGCCAGATAAATGGAAAGCTACATTAAAAGGGCCCGAGTTACGTTATTTTCTGATCTACGGGGTGTTATAATGTCGTTTCCTCATCGCAAACAGACCTGGAGTTGTGTTTTAGTTTCATTCGCACATGTTTAACACACAGTCCTGCGTATTTAGGCTCAGTTTTTCTCTCAAACTGCAAGAACCCCGGAAGTTGTAGACCGCGCACTGGCAAACTCTGGGTTCCAGCACAACACAGCAGTTAACAAAAAGGTCAAGATGGATGTAGACGAAGACAGACATTCTGTGTTGGTAACGATTCCCAAGATCGAGGATTTAAAGTCGCACCTTAAAGTAGAACTAAACACAAAAGCCACATTTATTGCTACAGAGCTGTTTATACTGTGTTTTAATAACTTATCTGCAGTTTATTTATTTAGTTTGGTTTTTTTTTGGCATTTTTGTGCAAACTAGGTACATTTGCTGTTTTCTAGGAAAAAAAGAAACAAAGAAACAAACAAAAAAACTGCCTAAATATAAGTTTGTGATGCCTTCAGTGGCCTCTGTGATTTCAAGTAGTTGGTGACGTCACGCAAGACTTCCACGATTATATCCGGATGTTCCTAATTACAACTATCTGGCTTATACCCTCGAGACTTCGCCCCCCCCTTCCCCCTCACCCCCCTTTAGTCTTCCAGATCCGCCCCTTCTCCACCTTTCTCCTAATGCTCCCCTTTAGTCCTCTAGATCCCACTCTCCTCTTTTCCCCCCTCACTCTCCTCTTTAGTCCTCCAGACTCCTCTTCCTCTTTAGTCCTCCAGACTCCTCTTCCTCACTATCCCTTTTAATCCTCCAAACCACGGCTCTCATTCCCCCTCACTCTCCCCTTTAGTCTTCCAGACCCCTCCTCCTCCTTCTTCCTCACTCTCCCCTTTAGTCCTCCACACCCCGCCCCTCACTCTCCCCTTTAGTCCTCCACACCCCGCCTTCACTCTCCTCTTTAGTCCTCCAGACCCCTCCTCTCCTCCTCCTTCCTCCTCACTCTCCCCTTTAGTCCTTCACACCCTGCCCTCACTCTCCCCTTTAGTCCTCCACACCCCGCCCCTCACTCTCCCCTTTAGTCCTCCACCACCCACCTTCACTCTCCTCTTTAGTCCTCCAGACTCCTCCTCTCCTCCTCCTCTCCTCACTCTCCCCTTTAGTCCTCAAAAACCCGCCCCTCAATCTCCTCTTTCATCCTCCACAACTGCCCCTCACTCTCCCCTTTAGTCCTCCAGACCCCGCCCTCACTCTGCTCTTTAGTCCTCCAGACCTGCCCCTCACTCTCCCCTTTAGTCCTCAAAACCCCACCCCTCACTCTCCCTTTTAGTCCTCCAGACCCCTCCCCTCACTCTCCCCTTTAGTCCTCCAGACCTGCCCCTCACTCTCCCCTTTATTCCTCCAGACCCCACCCCTCACTCTCCCCTTTAGTCCTCCAGACCTCGCCCCTCCTCTCCCCTCACTATCCCCTTTCATCATTCAGACCCCACCCCTCAATATCCCCTTTAGTCCTCCAGACCCCTCCTCCTCTCCCCCTTGCTTTCCCCTTTAGTCCTTCAGACTCCTCCTCTCCTCCTTCCTCCTCACTCTCCCCTTTAGTCCTCAAAAACCCGCCCCTCACTCTGCTCTTTCGTCCTCCACAACTGCCCCTCACTCTCCCCTTTAGTCCTCCAGACCCCGCCCCTCACTCTGCTCTTTAGTCCTCCAGACCTGCCCCTCAATATCCCCTTTAGTCCTCCAGACCCCTCCTCCTCTCCCCCTTGCTTTCCCCTTTAGTCCTCCAGACCCCGCCCTTCGTTCTCACCTTTAGTCGTCCAAACTCCACCCTCACTCTCTCCTTTAGTACTCCAGAGCCCACCCCTCTTCTCCCCTTTAGTCCTCGAGACCCCCACCCTCTTCCCCTCACTCTCCCCTTTAGTCCTCCAGGTCCTGCCCAGCTTAGTAGCTCTGTTTGAAACGTGTGCAGGCGTTTGAACAATTTTTATACTTCATTTCGTTACAACTTTTTGAGTTTCTACGTGAATTTCCTCTCATTTTATTTTGATCTTCGATTGAGACACTTGCGCTTAAAACGTCTGTAAATATTGGAAGCCGATAACCATTTTCCCCCCCGTTTAAAGGAACTCTTAAAATCTGTAACGAGCGAAACAAAATCCGAACATATGGCCCATCTTATTTCTTCAAAACTAATTAAAAGAAATGTACTGTTACTGAACGTCCCATCATCCCTTTCACAAACACAAACCACAGAAGCTTCAAGGGCCCTTTTACTGACGCTCAGATATATTTACATTATGGATCTGTCGCCTTGTTTGTTTTGACACAAACTGCTAATTTTAGAAATGTAAATGTCCTTAGCTTCCCCGCGGATTCAATTTATGCACAACTCCGGCTCTGATCCAGCCATCGCCGGCGCCGCGCGTTCAAAACAGCATTCAAATCACTCCGTGCAATTCAGCCGCACTGTTTGACAATTCAAAAGTCCTCGGTAAATTAGTCCGTCTATTCTTCCACTTGATTGCGCTCGTAAAAATGCACACACTCTCCACGGAGATGTTATTGTTTTATCTGGAATGTTTCGCAGTAGGACGTTAAGCTTTGACTATATACACTTAGATGAACTTTATTGATCCACAACGGAAATAACTTGGAAAAGGAAGTTCACCCATTCGTAATATAATAAAAGAACAAAGGTAGTAATGAATTCTAAATAAGTAGGCCGTACATATAAATATATACTGTATGTACAAATAAAAGTAAACATGCAATGGAAATAAGTGCTGCATTTTTTTAACTATAAGTCGCTCCGGAGTATAAGTCACAACAGCCAAAATATGCGCAATAAAGAAGAAAAAAAAAAATACATAAGTCGCACTTTTGGGGGGGGAAATTATTTTGTAAAATCAGAGACCAGGAACCGACATTTTTGAAACTCAAGTTCTAGTAAAAACAACAGTAATAACGTCACATATGAACGGTTCTTCAGATAAACTATAACATAAACAACAGAACAAGTTTAACAAACTCTCCATCTCACTCCAAATCACTAAATCCATTCAATTCTTCATCCTCGGTGTCACTTTTGAGCAACTCCACGACCTCCGGAGGTAAACAGAGCGACGCTTCCTCTTCTGTGTCGCTGTCGTCAGACTCAGTGTCAGTTCCAATTAGAATTATTCAGGCCTTTCTGAATCCCGACAGGATGGTTTCGGTGTCACTGAAGTCCAGGCTTTGTCCGTCCATCCAGTGACTTCCAGGAAAGTTTCACGGTGTCACGAGTTTCTGTCTCGCGCCGAACTTTCTTTTTGCTGCACGATTATCTTTTCCGGCAACAGATTTTACGACTTGCAGTTTGTAATCTGCAAAATCAGATTTTGTTTTTGGGGGCATTTGTGTTCAGTCTTCTCAGTCGTCTTTATAAGTTTGTTTAAATTGGGGCAGAAGTAACGGTGCGATCGACTGACATGACACAGACAGGACAGAGGCTCTTTCTGCAGGAGACATGCGCAGTAGAGCCAAGTGACAGTGGTACAGGAGGAACAGGAG